TTCTTCTTCTGCCAGACTGAAGTTCCCACCTTCAGGCCAATTTGTGATAACCTCCAGAATTCCAGGGCGATTTGAGCTTCCCAATCGTACACGCTGCGTAATCAAGGCTATCCACTTGCTCCACGTAGCATCGGTGGCATGATGCGTAGGGGACACCTTCCCTTTGAACGTCCAATTCAGGACTGGTAGTCGGGGTGCTAGGAGAAGCTGTGTTTCAGTGCCAATCACTTCTGAGACTGCTTGTATGCCTTCATAGGCCGCCAGAATTTCCTTTTCCACAGGAGTGTAGTTGGCTTCAGAACCCCTGTAACTTCGGCTCCAGAAGCCAAGTGGTCGCCCTCGCGTCTCACCAGGCACCTTTTACCAGAGGCTCCAGGAGGGACCTTTATCTCCAGCTGTAGTGTAAAGTACGTTCTTCACGTCTGGTCCCGTTCGAACTGGTCCAAGAGCCACGGCATGTGCAATCTCTTGTTTGATTTGTTTGAATGCCTGTTGCTGTTCAGGACCCCATTGAAAGGTATTCTTTTTACGGGTCACAAAGTGAAGAGGGCTCACAATCTGGCTATACCCAGGGATGTGCATTCTCCAGAAACCTATGGCTCCCAGGAAAGCTTGCGTCTCCTTCTTGTTGGTCGGTGGAGCCATGGCTACAATCTTATTGATGACATCTGTTGGTATCTGACGTCGTCCATCTTGCCATTTCACCCCTAGGAACTGGATCTCTCTGGCAGGTCCCTTGACCTTATTCTTCTTAATGGCGAAACCGGCATCAAGGAGAATCTGGATGATTTCCTCTCCTTTCTCAAAAACTTCTTCCACTGTGTCCCCCCATACAATAATGTCATCAATGTACTGGATATGTTCTGGGGCCTTGCCCTTCTCCAGTGTGACCTGAATCAGTCCATGGCAGATTGTTGGACTGTGCTTCCACCCCTGGGGCAGTCGGTTCCACATGTACTGCACACCTCTCCACGTGAAAGCAAACTGCGACCTGCACTCTGCTGCTAGGGGAATGGAGAAGAATGCATTGGCGATGTTGATGGTAGCATACCACTTCACTGCCTTGGACTCCAGCTCGTATTGGAGCTCCAACATGTCTGGTACAGCAGCACTCAATGGTGGCGTGACTTCATTCAAGCCACGATAGTCCACCGTCAGTCTCCATTCGCCATCTGACTTACGTACAGGCCAAATGGGGCAATTGAAGGGTGAGTGTGTTCTACTAACCACCCCTTGGCTTTCCAACTTGTGAATCATTTTATGGATGGGGATCACAGCATCTCGATTCATCCGGTACTGTCGCCTATGCACTGTCTTAGTGGCTGTTGGCACTCGCTGGTCCTCAACTTGCAGCAATCCTACAACAGAAGGATCTTCTGAGAGGCCGGGCAGGGCAGATAATCGTTTGGATTCCTCTTCAGTCACCGCAGCTATACCAAAAGCCCATCGGTACCCCTTTGGGTCCTTGAAGTATCCTCTCCTGAGGTAATCCATGCCAAGAATGCAAGGGGCTTCTGGCCCTGTCACAATGGAATGTTTTTCCCACTGGTCTCCTGTCAGGCTTATTTCGGCCTCTACCACCGACAGCTCTTGAGACCCTCCTGTCACCCCACAAATTGAAACAGTCTCTGTGCTCATATGTCCTGAGGGCATTAACGTACACTGTGCACCAGTATCTATTAAAGCTTGGTATCTCTGAGGATCCGATGTGCCAGGCCATCGAACCCACACAGTCCAGTAAACTCTGTTATCTTTCTTGTCCCTCTCCTCCTGGCAGAAGGCAGGGCCCCTCTATTGGTTCTGGTCGGAGCATTCACCATCGGATCTTTGCTTCGGCTTGTCAGAGGCTTTCTTGTCATCCTGAGAACGGACTCCAGACCTCCTGCGTCTGGGAGATCTCAGTTCTCTCTCAAAGAAATCTGCATCTACTACGTAGACAACTTTCTTATCGGCTTCCTTGCGTTTTAGTTCTCTCACTCTGGCCTCAAGTCTGGAAGTAGGTTCACCATCCCACTTCCTCATGTTTTCTCCATGGGCGCGCAGATAGGACCACAGTTCACTGCGCTTAGATCTACGCTTAGGGTTTTCGCTCCTTCTACGTGTGACGGAAGGAGATCGTGAGCGGGACCGGGACCAAGATCGAGATCATGGTCGAGACCGGTCTGCTGATCTATTTCTGTAGCATCTGTCCCTGTGGTCTCCGTAGTCATCTTCATAATCAGAGCACGCGTAAGGCTCATCTCTCTCAGGTCTTTGTCTGTAACCAGAATCAGAATAGTCTCTAGAAAACTCGTTTCTAGATTCTACAGTTTCTTTTAGATGTCACAGAACCGTACATAGCATGCTCACAGGCGTTTCTGGCATGTTTGGAAGCAGTACTCCTGCCAAGGTATGGACATATGATGCAGGAGCACCCTGGATTATCTTCTTCCACATGGGCATTGTGCAACCGATAACCTCTGGGTCATCAGTGACGGCATCGTATTGAGGGTCATCATACATAAGTTCCAGCAATGCCAATTCTCTTAGGTACTGGATGGCGTCTTCTATTTTGGTCCACCTCCTCACGGGGCACGGTAAATAGTCTTTAAATGGAAACCTTTGTCTCACACTTAAGACAAGTCGCGCCCAAAGACTGAGGTCAGGTTTCTCCTCTGCAATTAAACGATCAAGTTCACGGTCTCCGGAGATGGAAGCTAGTTGTTCTGCTTCAGCAGTTGACAATATGTGACCTCTAGCCCCACGGTCTCGGCATCGGAGCAACCACGATAGAATTCGCTCACCAGACCGACGAGTGTAATCCTTTTGTAAGTCCCGGAGTTCTGATGGGGTCATTGACCGCAACTCTGTAGTTTCCATTTTTGGGGGTGGTGCTGCTCATGGAGGTGGAGTTCTGGCACTGGCATCAGTATCAGTCCCCTCTCCGTTATCTTCTGACCTGTTCTGCTCTCCATCTGGTCGTAGGCTTAAAGTTTTGGGCACTGGTACCCATGACTTCCTTTTCACTACAGGGGCGAGAGGTATCTCAGGTGGTGTAGTCTGGGTTCCGCTTTCAGTGCGTGTAGTAGAGGTGGCATTGGTCTCAGGTGGAAGGGTTTGAGTTTCCGCCTCAGCCTTAGTCTTCCGAGCATAGTCCACAGCAGCTCGATAGGCACTCGCCAGGCCCCAGTACAAAGCAAAAAACTGCATATTTGGGTCCTCGTAAGATAAACACCCTTCTGCCAGACGACGTGCCACCTCATCAGGATCAAACACCTGCTCTGGTGTGAAATCCCAACTAATGGGAGGTGTCACGCGCCCTACCAATTTGCCAAAGTTGACCCAGATTCCTTGCCATCCAGGGACTGGTTTTCTTAAGACCCTTCCCAAAGTTCCAGCAAATCCCTTTGAGTTTTGGCGTTTCCTACAACAAGAAAAGCAGTACCGCACCACCTTTCCAATGTTAAACACCACTTCCATGGCTTTTAGGAATAGTATAACTGTTGCCAAACAATTTATGTAAGGATTGGGACCAATTTTGATTCCAGGGACCTCAACCACTAGGCCTTTGATGTCATAATTAAGGAAAGGCAGATATTGGTAGATGCCTTTTGGGTTAGTTCTCACTGGATACCCAGCAGCATATATAAAAACGACCAAAATAACCAAGAAAATGAATAAAAAGGCCATGTTTATATATTTTTCTCTCTTTGTTCCCAAACAAAGCTATATTTATATAAACAATAGGTTCTTGGCAACTCTCCCGGTAGTGTTCCCAAACAATGGGCAGTGTTTGCACCAACTTGGCTCCCTTCCCAGACTTGTTCCAAAACAACCGTGGCAAAACCAAAAACAAACCGAGATAACCAGAGATAAACCAGGCAGAAACACCAAAATAAGGTGATATGGTTTGAAGCTGGCTCCCTGCCAAGTCTCCAAACCTTACCACCAGAAGTCCCCCCCCCCCCCCCAAACCTCAGGGAGAAGAGGGAGAAAAAACAACCAACTAAGAAAAATCCGAAACGAGAGAGACAGCTAAAGTGATATATATAAATATATTTACACTTATATATACAATTTAAAATATATACAATTTTCACAGGGGAAGGGGGAAGGGAAAAGGGAACAAAACCAAAATAAAATATATATATATCCCAAATCAGTAGCCCGAGATCTAGTAACTAAAGAGTTAGCAAAGAAAATATATCACCACTCTCCTTGGGACAACCGAGAGTTGCTCCGGGACGATCGCCGGCAACCTCCGTCTCCCAAGGTCGACAAGGCCTCACCAGGCCTCGCTCCCCAACACTGCAGACTCAACAGCAGGGAACCTGCACCTCCAAGCCGCCGGAAGGAAAGAGAGCGAAGGCCTCTCCTCCTTTCTTCTTATATTCTGGCTTACGTAAAAATCGTAGGGAATACTGGGTAAATCTGGACCCTTCCTTGGTTACAAACTGGTCACCAAGGAAGGCCTAGCCCAAACCACCACATGACTCCTATAGAAAACAACTTGAACAACTCAGTCCATGGAACAGCCACAACGTCTGGGTGACCCTGATGAATGCTCTAAACCAAACCACCTTCTGTGCCTCCTTCAAGCAACCTGAACTGCCTTTCCACACGTGCCTTATTGGGGCACCTGTAAATAACTCTGATTCAGTGAAACTCGTTTCTAATGTTACACGACCACAATATTGGGCTAGAAAGGCTTGCAATGCTTCAGCGCTGAACTGCATTACAAATGTATCCGCTTGGCTGACTAAACTACCAGTAGGCATTGCATCGCAAGAATTAGATATTATGGGTACCTTAACTGCTACTGCTTGCTTTTACTTTAATTATACTAAGGGATATGACTTCCTTCATGGTGCAGGGACCGCTTTGCAAGATGTATCTCCAGATATGCCCTTTTACCGGAATGCATCTGCCTGGTGCTTGTATAGACGTGCTCGGCCCTCATATGGTGTAGCAGTTGCTCGCCAGATTCCAAAAGGATACTTTTTGATCTGTGGCAATCGGCCATGGCCAGGTATTCCAGCAATGCCTGTAGGGGGACCCTGCACCTTTAGCAGACTAGGTTTGCTTATACCCACGGAGAAGCTTTTATTAAATCACTCACGTATTTACAGTCACGTCCTAACTAAACGATCACTGACCCTTAGTTCTAAATGTAGTGATACATTAACTTTATGGAGTCAAGCAGCTATTATATCTGCCTCTTTATTTTTACCACAAGTCGTCTCAGCAAAGGCGGTAAAACAAATTAATAGTTTGGCATGCTGGATTACCAAGCAAGCAAATTTGACCTCAGACACACTTTATAAATTTACCACTGATGTAGATAGTGTACGACATGCTACACTACAGAACCGTGCTGCGATTGATTTTTTACTGCTAGCACATGGACATGGTTGTCAGGAATTTGAAGGCATGTGTTGCTTAAATATATCAGATCATTCTGCATCCATTTATAAACAAATTGCCGCTCTACAAGAACAGACAGATAAGATTAGAGAGGAAACTGGATTTTTTGACTTGGAAAGATGATTGTCTGGTTGGGGTCTTTCAGGTTGGTTAATGTCCTTACTCGAGACAGGGGTCTTAGTTTTGGTAATAGAAGTTGTAGTTGTGCTTGCAATATTGTCATGTTTTGTGTCACATCTGGAAAGGGCCCTCCAGAAAATGGCACAGGCAGTCTTTCTCGCACAAATACAAAGAGAGGGAATTGTCAGGGTTAACAACGGGTCTGTTAGCTCTCTGGGAGAAGATATTGACCTGGGAAATTTATGGGTGTATCCTTGAGATAGGAGAGGTATGTACGCAGCCCTAACAAAAAGAAGACAACTGTGGAGTGCTTAGATTCGGTCCTGTGAGAACTTCAATTTTAGTCTTGAGCTTTGCCAAAAATATCACTAACAATTAAAATACAGTTACTTGCTTACCTTCTAAAACTGCTGCTTGCTACTAACATGAGATATAAAAAGACTCATGGGAAATAATAAAGAGACTGGTACTTTGCTCGGTACTAGACTGTCTGTGTTTTTCTTTACTTTCGACCGCCGTGACAATAACAACCCTGCATTCACATATTTGCTTGTCCTTATTTGCTCTTTGCCTCTCCCACAGTAGATTCCAAGTACTGTTCAAGAATACTAAGCTGTTTCACGAATCTCCCAAGCAACACCTGATAGAGGACATAGAAAATATTTTGCCCACATGATCACTTGTTCTGACACCATTTGAGCTCTTACCTTAGTAAAATTATTCAAGTGACCTAGTTTTCTCATATTTGAAACACCTTGTAACTTGGTCACATTTTGGAGAATCTCTCTCATATTATCACAGGGTTCTGCAAAAGAAAATAGATTATTATCAGATACATTTGAAAAAAAATGTAAGCACGCATTCAACATACAGTTTCTGAAATACAACAGGTACTCTTCTGGTCTTTTAATTAAGGATGCAGATCATTTTCCCTCAAGAAGTATCCATTTCATTTATTCCTAGAACCAAAACCAGGCATAACCATGTTGTCTAGAACAAATGCTAAAGCCTATGGAAGAGAGAGAGTCCTATTTTAAAGTAGAATTTAATCAATATCTTAGATTTACAGTTGACAAAAAAATTGATTTAGTGTCTGAAACTACAATCCTAGCATCTCATAACTGGTACCAGCTTACTAGAAGCTGGTGAATGTTGTCCCTATTTTCAAGAAGAGCAAGAAGGAGGACCCTGGAAACTACAGACCTGTCAGTCTCACTTCAGTGTCTGGTAAAGTTATGGAGATTTTTCTGGGAAGTATTAAAAAACACCTGAAACACAACACTGTCATTGGTCACAGTCAGCACAGCTTCAGGAGAGGAAAGTCCTGCTTATCAAACACAATTTCCTTTCATGACAAGGTAACCCACCTGGTTGATCAAGGGAAGCCAGTTGATGTAATCATTTTGGATTTCAGTAAAGTTTTCGATACTGTCTCTCATAGCGTCCTTCTGGACAAACTGTCCAGCCCACAGCTGGATAAACACCTCATGGAGTGGGTAAGCAATCGGCTCACGGGTTGAGCACAGAGGGTAATAGTGAATGGGGTGATATCAGACTGGCGACCTGTCACTAGTGGGGTTCCGCAGGGCTCCATCTTAGGCCCTGTGCTCTTCAACATCTTCATAAATGACTTGGACGCAGGACTGGAAGGAATACTGAGCAAGTTTGCTGATGACACAATACTGGGAGGAGCTGTTGACTCCCTCAAAGGCAGGCAGACCCTGCAGAGAGACCTGGACAAATCAGAGGACTGGGCAATCCCCAACAAGATGAAGTTCAACAAGGGAAAGTGACGGATTCTGCACCTGAGATGGGGCAACCCTGGATGTTCGTACAGACTGAGGAATGAGATGCTGGAAAGCAGTGCCATGGAAAGGGACCTGGGGGTTGAATATGAGTCAACAGTGTGCCCTGGCAGCCAGGAGGGCCAACCGTGTCCTGGGGGGCATCAGGCACAGCATCACCAGCCAGCTGAGGGAGGTGATTGTCCTGCTCTGCTCTGCGGCAGCCTCATCTTGAATATTGTGGCAGTTTTGGGCACCACAATATAAGAAAGATATTAAGCCATTAGAGAGTGTCCAAAGGAGGGCAATGAAGAGGGTGAAGGGCCTTGAGGGGAAGCCATATGGGGAGTGGCTGATGGCACTTGGTCTGTTCAACCTGGAGAAGAGGACACTGAGGGGAGACCTCATAGCAGTTACAACTTCCTCTTAAGGGGAAGAAGAGGGGCAGACACTGATCTCTTCTTTGTGGGGACCAGTAGCAGGACCCAAGCGAATGGCCTGAAGTTGTGTCAGGGGAGGTTTAGGTAGGATATTAGAAAAAGGTTCTTCATTTTGAGGGTAGTTGGGTACTGGAACAGGCTCCCCAGAGAAGTGGTCACAGCACCAAACCTGACAGAGTCCAAGAAGCATTTGGATGATATTCTCAAGCACATGGTGCAACTCTTAAAGATGGTCCTATGCAGGGCTGAGGGTTGGACTCGATGATCCTTCTAGGTCCCTTCCAGCTCGGCATATTCTTTGATTCTGTAACTGAACAGCTTTATCCTTAATCCCCTTGTAATCCAAAGATAAGAAGAAGACTTAAAGACAGAGATTGGAAGGGACCCAGAAGGATCATTCAAGTCCAACTCCTGAAAAATAATGACTTCAGAAATAGAGATATAACCTCTATACTATATTAATCTATACTGCTATGGGCAGGAACACCTTCCAGTAGACCAGGTTGCTGAAAGCCCCATCCAACCTAGCCTTGAACACTGCCAGGGATTGGGCAACCACAGTTTCTCTGGGCAACCTGTGCCAAAAATGTGCTGGTTTAAAGGTAAACCAACAGGGGAAGTGAACTCAACTCAAAAGAGAGATTATAAGTCAGAATAACAATTTAATAAAATAACACAATAAGTACGATTATACAGGCAAACAATTGGTTTTAACCCACAAAACCCAAATATACAACCCAGCACCCTGGGGCATGAACAGAGTGGTGTTCTTTGGGCCCCCTGAGTCCAAAGTAAAAGAAGACGGGAAAACCTGTTGGTGAGAGTGCTGTTGCAGTCTGGTCAAGAGTGGTGATTGCAGTCCAGTCAAGAGTGATGGTTGCAGTCTGGCTGAAAAGTGGTGGTCTTCAGTCCAGTCGAGAGTGGTGGTCTGCAGTTTGGTTGAGAGCGGTGATCTGCAGTCTTCCTCTGGATCCCACGAGTGGTTCCAAAAGTTCCAAGACTCCGAGATTATATATCCTCCAGTTCAGGCAGGAATGTTCAGTACTTACCTCAGGGCGGAGAGTTTCACAAAAGAGTGTGAGGACAGGGAGGCACCCTCCTATCTCACAGGTCTCTTAACACCCAGTTTATAGCCTGAGGAGTCAGGTTACTCTGGGCATAAGGTGTAAATAGTCTATTGATACCAGTTTCTGGGAAATGGCATGGAAGGCTATAGAATACACAGTTTTGGGTTACACCCATCCTGTGATGAACTGGTCCCAACTGTTCTAACTAGGACATTATCCACCCCTTATTCTATGCCATCCATGTCATGCCCAAATTAACACCATTTAAAAACTATACCCCTTTAAAACTATATACATCTATATATATATACAATGAAACATTACAGGCCACTCTCACTCAAAATTAGGTCCCCTTGTGGTACACAACGTGTCTCCCCATCTTTTTGCATTACTTGTCCTAGTTAGAACAGCTGGGACCGATTCATCACTGGATGGGTGTAGCCCAAAACTGTGTATTCTATAACCTTCCATGCCATTTCCCAGAAACTGTTGTCAGTAGAGGTCTGAGAGATAGGGGGATGTTCCTGTCCCCATGCCCTTTTACAGAACTCCCCACTCTGAGGGAAGGACTGAGCATCCTTTTATGGAATTCCCTGCTCTGAGGGAGGGACTGAGCATTCCTGCCTGAGCTGAAGAATATATAAACCTGGAGTTTCGGAACCTTTCCCCACTCATGGGATCCAGAGGACTGCAGCTCATCGCTCTCAACCAGACTGTAGCCTACCGCTCTCAACCGGACTGCAACCACCGCAATCGACTGGGCTGCAGCCGCCACTTTTGACCGGACTGCAACAGTTCTCCCACCGACAGGTTTTTCCCCTCTCCCTTTACTTTGGACTCGGGGGGGAGGGGAAGCAGGGAGCACCGCTTTGTTTGTGCCCCGGGGTACTGGGTTGTACATTTGGGTTTTGTGGGTTGAGACCAACTGTTTGTCTGCGTGGCTGTGCTTGTTGTATTATTTTATTAAATTGTTATTCTGACTTGTAATCTCTCTTTTGAGTTGAGTTCATTTCCCCTGCTGGTCAACTTTTAAACCAGCACATTTTTGGCGCCCAACGTGGGGCAGAGAGAGAGAGAAGTCAGAATCACAATTTCATTTAAAGCATTTGTCTATTTGGATACAGAAACTCCCTGATCACCACGTTGTTTGATGTATTCACGTGGATGTTGTATCTGAGTCTGTTCATATTTCCA